ATTCCTCAGCCAGCTGGCTGAGGAATTCTGGGAGTTGAAGTCCACAAGTCTTAAAGTGGCCAAGGTTGGAGACCCCTGCTCTCGGATGTCTGTGAACTGATGGAGCTCCCTTCACCCTCTTCTAAACGGAGCCCACCTAACAGGATAGTCCTCTCTATGCGGAAGAGAGTCCACTTAAGCGCAATGGGTCCGAGTCCCAAATCCCTGCAGTTACCTCAGAGTAGCCTTTGCTTCTCGACTCCCCCGACCTTACCAAAGGAGCAGCAGCCCGGCTGCGATCTGGGGTCTGGGAGGGAGGAGGAGGAGGAGGAGGAAGCGTCCAGCTCGGCCTTGCCTGGTTTCGTCCCCACAAACGCGGGCCGGGATGGTTATGATCACCTTAGGGTGATTTTAAAAAGGAAAGATTTGATTTTAAAAAAGGAAGAAGTAACTGGGCAAAGAAACCAAGAAAGCACTGCAGCTGGGTGTGTTTTTGGCTCCATCATCCCTGGAGGAAAACAGCCGAGGCGGAGCGGGTGGGGGAGAAGCCTCTAAGGAAGGCAGGGTCTGTTTTGCTCTCTGGGTCCAGGCGGACGTGGGGAAGGGAGCCCGACCTTTTCCCTTTCCTTGAACTTTCGAGATCTCTCCCCAAAACGCAGCTCCTCTTCTTCAGGCGAAAGGACTCGAGAAACGCTCCAGTCAAAGGCGCCAAATGTCCGAGCGGTCACCGAGCGGGCTCTGCTTTCCGCGGACTTTGGCAGCGACACGGGCTCATCCTCGCTTCCCCCCACTTGGCTGAAGGAGTCCATTTCCTGGGTCAGCACATGGCACCGACCAGAGGAGTTGAATTCACACGGGCACGTTAATTACCCCAAGACCTGACCCAGGAAAACCCTTGCAGTGAGCCGGATAAGCGAGTGATGAGCAGGGCGCTGCCAAGTCCGCGGGGAAGTGGCACCGAGGCGGGGGCGGCAGTTGCTGCCCCTGCACGCTCCTCCCCGGGCCGCTTGACCCTTCTCTGTGCGGGCCTGGCCTCGGGCCTCGCCTCGCCAGGCACCTTGCCACTCCCAAAGGCGGCCCCGCGTCGCCCTGTGCAACGGAAGCTGGAGGAGAGGCTCGGGGGTCCAGCGTCCCCTCTTCAGCCGCCTCCCGCCCAGGGCAGCCCAGCTTCTCTTTCGGGAAGCGCCGGCCCTTGGCTGGAGCTGCCCGAGGGCGCACCGGGGAGTAAGCGCCACCCTCCGCCGGCTCTTATTGCAAATGCCGGCACCGAGGAGCCAGAACCCCCGCTGTCGGTTGCCCATCCTGGTCCTCTGCTGCGCGACCCCGGCAGGACCACGCAGCAGCCCCCAGGCAGCCTCGCTCTTCCTCGGGCAGTAGTTTTACTCGGGGCGGGAAGCCGGGCGAAGCCTCCGGAGTGTCCTTCGGAGCGCGCCAGGTAAGGAGCGGATTAGGCGACCGGAATGTTGCTCTGTATGTATTTTCCCCGGAGTCTCCAGTTCCTGCTTCCCCGGGCGCAGTGAGGTAAGCCATTGGTCGCATTGCACTAAGACATCACTTGACTCGTTTGGTTTTCGGCCCTCGGATTATCAGTAAACTTTAGTTAAAAGTAATGATACTCCGGTTATCTACTATTTAACACACTGGATTAAACGATGGCTTCATGTGTTGTGAGCCCGACTGGATTTAGGTACCGTAGTAAAACCTGTTTTGCTTAGCAGTGGTTTATATTGTTACATGTTGGGTGAACCAGATATAAAAAGGCCACTGAGGTAAAAATATATATATAAATTTACCCTGGAGTAGATCCCATCCCAAGGCACTGAATTGCAGATACTGTGGGGGGGGGAAATGGAGGTGAGGACTCTCTCCACAGAGAGGCAGGTGCTGATTGCAGAAGAGGTGAGGGTGAAATGATGGATAGTTGAGCCAGGTAGACGGCTGTTGATTCCACCTTAATAACGCAGGATGCCTGGAAGTCTGATACCAAAGGAAGATGCGGAGATCTCTTTCTCTAACTTTGGGCATTAGAAAAAGAGGATGTCTTGGTAGCAGTAATGTTTCTGTCCCTTGAATATTGCAAGTAGTTGTGGAATGAGGGCCGAGGATTTTCTGCAAGGTTTCTGAGGCTGATCTGGAGACACCTCTCCAAATCCCTGTCCTTTCTGCGCACTGTCTTCTGCGATGGTGGTTCCTGCTGTACCTTGAAACGCCATATACAAAAATAGCCTTGGAAGAGAGTGGAGGGGGCATTGATTTCTTTTTCAATTTAACTGTACAGCTTATATGCTATATTAAAAGGTGAAAAGAATTCTGAAGTGATGTACCGTATACCATGCAAAAATGTTAGCCAGTTGTGCAAGACAGCTGTAAATTAAGAATGCTTTCAGAAATGAAAATGTTAATTTATTTTTATCAATTAACAAAATGGAAAGTAAATAAGAGTAATCAAAATCAAAATTTGGTGTGACTACCCTTTACCTTCAAAACAGCGTAAATTCTTACAGTTGCATGAAGTCAGGGCTTTTGTAGGATGAAAGTTAGGTGTATGATGAACCATGATTATACCAAGCAGGTGCTAATAATCAATTTCATCTGTAGGTTGAAACAGTCAATTGAAACAGAAACAGCTGTGTAGGGGTTTAAAACTGAGTGAGGAACAGCCAAACATTGCTCTAACGTGAGATTGTGGAAGACAGTTTCATGTCACAGGTCATACACCATGACCAAACTGAGTACAGAAACAAGACAAAGATAGTTATACTGTGATGCGAGTTCTCTCCCAGGCAGAGATGTCAAAGCACACTGGGAGTTCAAGCTATGCTGTTCAAGGTCTTTTGAAGAAGCACGAAGAAATGGGCAACACTGAAGACTGTGCAGACACATGGATCAGCCAAGGAAAAGTAATGCAGTAGATGAAAGACACATCATGTGTATTTCCCTTTGACATAAGATGTCCACCAGTTGCCATCAGCACTGAACTGATGCAAACCAGTGGGACCCAGTTATACCCATCCATTGTGCAGAGAAGCCTGTCCAGAAGTGGTCTTCATGGAAGAGTTGGGCCCAATAAACCATACCTCTGATGTGGAAACAAGACTAAGTGACAAAACTATGCACAAAAAGATAGGAACTGGGGTACAGAAAAATGGCAGCAGGTGCTCTGGACTGAGGAGTCAAAAATTTGAAATATTTGGCTGTAACCGGAGGCAGTTCACCAAGTTTGGGCTGCATTTCTACAAATGGAGATTTGGTCAGGATCAATGATGTTCTCAATGCTGAGAAATACAGGCAGATACTTATCCATCATGACGTACCACTAGAGTTGTTTGAGAACTGTGGAAGTGGTATTTAACATCGCTCTCTGGCAATGTGCATTTCCGTGGCAACACTTCAGGGCCATCTCTGAACTCTTTTGTAGGCGTCTCATCGGTGGAGTGAGCAACCAGCAGTGCTTTGAAACTCAGTCGTTCCAGTATAGTGGAGACCGGCTGGACGTGGCTTGCCCCACAGACACAAAGAGAGGTTCTACAGTGGAGGTTAAAGGAGTCACCTTCCAAATCCATGGGGATTTGGAAAAGAAAGATTTGAGGAGAACTGTGTCCAATCAAGGGACAGTGGGCATAATAATTGGGGCTGCTTAAAAGGAGAGTTAAGAGCCGGGAACCTGTGAGGTTTGCTCCTAGGATGACAGCCGTGGTAGGTGACTACTGTGTGGGTAATTGTTTGTATACCTCATGTTGAGTAGGATCTGGGTGGAGAGTTTTGCATCAGTGGTCCTCCCCCTCAGTGAGAGGGATTAGTGGGGAAGGTGTGCTTGTTGCGAGGTGCGGTTGGAGAGAAGGTGTTCTTGGCGCTGAGATCTTTTGCTAGAACACCACGGGGACCCCCTCCTTCCCTGGCCACCCCCAGGATGTCTGTGATTGGAGGGGGGTGGCAGAGCCCTTGGCTCTTCAAGGAAGGGGACTGGAGGGGAAGAATAGTTTTATCTTGAGGAATGTAGGGTAGAATCACAGTGGTGACAGGCAGGGGGGATGCTCTGGGGGCCAGAGGGCAGGCCGTTTCAGGGAAGATACCCCCAATGTGAAATATTGATGGTGTGTTCCGGCCTACTGAACTCATCCTCAGTCCTTAGACATCATACCCCCCCCTCCCTCCCCCCGAGGCCCTAGCCAAGGCCCCAGGGCAGGGGAGCTCTGCCACTTGCTGTAATAATCCTGGGGGCTTTCCTGGCCTTTTCTTCACGGCTGCACACATGGTACAACTCTTGACATAGTCCTCAATGTCTTTTTTCATTTTCGGCCACCAAAACTGCCTTTGAGCAAAATGCAAGGTTTTCAAGTAACCGAAGCGCCCGGCCTTTTTAGAGTCGTGGCTTTGTTGGAGGACTTGGAGAGTTAGGCTTGTGGGGAAGTTATAATTTTGAGCCTTTCCAGGCTAGTCCCTCTCTTAGGATCAGTGCCTCCTTGTTGTCCCTGTACCAGGATCAGCGGGGCGGTTCATTTTTCAGTCTTTGGGTCATACCGTCCCCTTCTGTGGGTTTCTGTCACCCGGCCTGGCCACAGATCATGGCTTGTGAGGCAGGCTGCGGGGAGGAATCATGGCATGGACCACTTCTTCGTGTTTGCTGTCATATTGTGGTTTGCATGACCCAACATCTGCCAAGAGGTTTTTCCCTCCAGGAATGTTCTTGAGCTTGAAGTCGAACCATTTGAAATACTGGACTTGCGGACTTGCTTAGAGTTTTTAGAGTTTTTAGCACGTCAGGGTTTTTATGGTCGGTCCACACTTCAAACGGGATATGGCTGCTCTTAAGAAAGTGTCTCCAGGCCAGCAGGGGCCATCAGACTACGTAGGCTTCTTCTTCCCGTACCACCCACCTCCTCTCAGTCTCTTGTCAGTTTTTTGGAGATGTAAGCACAGGGTTTCAGGTTCCTGTCTGCGTTTCTTTGGAGTAGGATGGCCACAATGGCCATGTTGCTGGTTTCAGCCTGGATGATGAAGGCTGTTCTGGGTCAGGCTGCTTAAGGGGTGGCTCTTGGGCAAACAGGGCCTTCAGCACCTCTAAAGCCCACTGGCATTTAAAGTCCAATTTAGGGGATAGGGCTCGATGGTTGCAGACGCTCCCCCACGTCTTTGACAGTTCAGTGATTGGCAAGGCGATCTCTGCGAAAGAGGGGATGAATTGTTGGTAGAAGTTAGCAAACTCCAAGAAGCTCTGTAGCTCTTTATGGGTGCATGGGGGTTGCCAATCCAGGGCCGCTTTAAGTTTAGCAGGGTTCATCTCAACTTCCTCGCTTGACACTCGGTAGCCCAGATAGCCCAGGCGTGAGTTGTGGAATTTGCACTTTGACAGCTTAGCCTATAGTTTAGCCACAAGGAGTTTTTTCAGGACTTGGCACACTAGTTTGATATGTTTCTCTGGGGTTTCAGGGAAGATGAGAATGTCATCTCAAGCACACTAGAACTCCTTTTTATAGGTGCTCATGCAGCACTTCATTTATTAGCTGTATAAAGATACCCCCCCAGAAATCCGAAGAAATTGGAAATTGGAAGCTGTCTAGGGGACAGTGGAAGGCAGCCTTCTAGTAATTGCCTCATTTTATTTGCACTCTGTAGTATGCTTCCCAAGCTTGGTGAATATCTTTCCCTTTGCTATGTGGGCTAGATGTCCTTCATGAAGGGGCAAAGGGTGTTTTCCATGCACACTACATTAATTCCTTATAATCTCATTGACCCATCTTCTTTCTGAAGAAGACTGGGGTGGCCACTCTGGATTTTGCAGATTGTATAAATCCTCGGGCCAGGTTAGTGTCGATGTAGTCCCTTAGTTCAGCCATCTTCCTTGGGGTCATGGAGTACATCTTCGGTTTGGGTAGGTTAGTCCCAGGCACAAAGTTTATGGCGCATACTGTGGGACATACCAAGAGAAGGAACTGAATAAGTACAACATGGAGGACAGAAAGGAAAAGGGGGTGGGGGGCACCATGATTGAAATCCTCAAATATATTAAGGGTGTGAATAAAGTTCCAGAGGGCAGTATTTTCCATATGAAGCAAAAATCAAGAACATGGGGAACATAACCTCAAACCGATTAGAGAGAAGTCAGAACATGTTGGAAAGTATTACTTCACAATAACAGTAGTGGAAGGATGGAATAAACTTCTGGCAGAGATAGGGAGTCACTCATCAGTAACTGAGTTTAAACAGGTCTTTCATCTGACAAAAATTTAAAAAATAAAAACAACGTAAATAAAAATAATTAAAAACTAATAAATAAAAAACCCTCAAAGGGCAGAATTGATGGACCACTGTGTCTTTTTCCGCTGTCTATGACACCTGTGGCCTAGGCTGATCTTCCCTTCTGGCTGGTCTGGAAACTGCTACTTTCGCAGTTCTGGATTTAGAAGTTGCCGTGGTATAACGTTATTATATTTCTTGGGCATAGGACTTTATGCCAACCAGTGTTAACAATGGAGCTTTTCTCTTTTTCTGTAAAGGGTCACATATATATATATGTGCTCTTACAATGGTATGTTGGAACTTGTAAGGAGCTTTGAGTTGAGATGGTTAAAAAGAGCTCCCTTCTTTAATAATTACATGGGCACATGAAGACTAGGTGTTTTTATCAAAAAAGAAAGAATCGAGATCAGCTCCTAGGATCTCCATGAACATTACTTTTCCTATTCAGGACACATTCCTGGGCCCGCTTTTTGCTTAGGTCACCACCTGAAATCTCCTGGCGGTCTCCCGTCGGTTCCGTTATTTCAGAGCTGGAGAGCCGTGCAATACGATCATCAAGCACTTACTAATATTAATAACATAATGTCTGGGGCTGCCGATGTCTATCACATGCATTCCCGGCAATAGGTTCCTACGGGCCGGCCAAAGGCTTGTGCAGATGAAGGGCACGTCTCTACCGCCCGTTCCCACAACCATCGGTGGCCATATAGGCAGAGAGAGAGAGAGAGAGAGAGAGAGAGAGAGAGAGAGAGAGAGAGAGTGTGTGTGTGTGTGTGTGTGTGTGTGTGTGTGTGTGTGTGTGTGTG